ACTTAAGGTTGTTTGAGGATCTGTTCCTCAGGGGTCACATGGGCTTTCCTCTGGCTCCTCAGGCTTTTCTCTTACCAGTTCCATCTATGTGAAGGTAAGTCAAAAGGTCCTGCATGACCAGGGCTTCACTTGGAAGCATGGAGGAAATATTTCCTCTGTGTTGACCCTCCTCTTTGCAGACTGGACACTGGTTCAAGTCCCTCTTCTGGGGTCTTCATGGCCTCCCTGAACAAAAGGACAGGTGACTCTCCAAAGTTACAGGACATTTCGAGAGATGCGCCATAGCCCCTGGAACTTGTTTGACCTTGGAGGACCAGGAACAAAAATTTGTCCCTTTAAGTCCCTCTGACCAGATAAATACAGGCCTTAGAGTCTAGCTATTAAACATCCAACAAGGTTAGTTACACCAGCCTGGTACATTAATTACCATGTGCTATGTAGATAGAGCTTGGGCAATATCCTTAAATAAACCTTGACTAGACATCCTTAGACTAGTTGACTAAGAAATTTTAAGATTATCTATATGTTAACTTTGCACATTATCCTTGTCTCATCCTAGTTATATTATAACAACCCTACACAGACCTTCATCACCTGTCCAGCTCTCTCATTTCTCTGTCAATTCTGGAAATATCCAGCCATCATAATTTTCATACATAAATCCTTCTTTAAAAATATCTCCATTCTCATATCCTTCCAAAATCCTCCACTTTTCCATTTTCCTTTTTCAATAACCATGAGACACAATAACATTAGCAAACATCAAATTTTTCATCTGTTGTGAGGCTTCTTTTCCTGGGGATACTAAGCAATGTTTTTCCCCCTTTTAGGTTGTAGTATCAAACCAATGTTTGATTACATTAAAGTTTTTCTGGGGAACCAGTGAATTTACTGAGCTTACTTATCGAGATGACTGAGGGGTTGCTGAGGTATATGAGTGACCTGAGAGTATTTACATTGGAAAGCCTTAACCCAGCATGGATCAAGCCTTCTCTTCCTAGCCTTTTCCAGATAATATACTTTAGTCTTCCCCAAGTCCAGGAGACCATGTGATCAGGGTCAAATTACATACAGTTGGCTGGGAAGAGCAGCTGGATACTTGGGTGAAGGTCCAATGACCCTGTTTACCCCTCTTCTTTTAATTAAAGAATACTCTAGTCAAGTCAACAAGTCCAATTGTGATGATTTTTTGTTAATGGACACAGC